TAATTCTGTTTAAGTAGGCGAAATAGTTGGGCGAACGGTGAACGACAGCATCGCCCAATTCGGCGAAGTTTGCCGTTCGCCGGTATTGTATTTCAAGCATTAGTTAGGCGAATACTCTCTCTGTGTGCCCACGCCGCACATGAAATTTCATTGACTAAGTGCGTACATATCATTAAATCGTTAATAGTACCCGTTAGAGATGAGTTGGGGACTAATTGATTTCCAATTATACCCATAAGGGATGAGTCGAGACTAATTGACCTCCATTAGTACCCGTATGAGACTAGTTGGGAATAATTAATGCCCAATTGTACCCGATTGAGAGTAATCTCGGAATACTCTCTTTATAGATTAGTCGCACAATTTTTTGCAGGGTATCAATGCTGGGCACACCAACACAGTCTCATTTTGTCGTGGTATTAGTGGGTCGTGCTCAGTTATGGTTGCCACATTTTAATAAATGCAGTTAAAGGGGTATTTTTCGTGCATGGGTCTTTTAGGCCTATTTTGATTATACGTATAGTGAAATAATGAATCTTGGAAGATTTTAGTAACTAATACTATTAGTTTATAGAAACTTTTACTTACGAAAAATTTTGTACTTGTAATATTTAAAAAAATTTAAATTGATATAACTCATTTGTTTAATACCTAGGCACCGTTTTATTAGAATCAAGTTTTAAAATGCTGGCCGGCCAGATAATTTCGGTGTTTCGATTCTATTATTTTCTTATAAATAGCTATTTAGTCCTAAATATAGAGTATAACTTATAAATATTATTCATTAAGTATTTTTGGGCCTAAACCAGCATTTACATTTCTCTATCGATTTCTTTAGATAGAAAAAAATTTTACTAAAATAAAGTATGCAAGTTATGCCCATTTTTATAAAAGTCATGGGATTTATTATAAAATTAGTGAACGTTGGTCAGTATACAGCCCCTTTTATATTTTTTTTAAATCCACACGGCTTGAAAAAAAAAGTTTGCTTATATTAAAAATACGTAGGAATAACAGCATAATGGACATTGTGGCTTGTTGAAAGTTCTTTGAATTATAAACTGTAGTTCTTATATAGAGTCGCACTATTTTGTGTTTGAATCTTAGCAAAGGCACGCAAAAAACAATCTAAGAACAACACACCACTTTTTGTTTGTAAATTTCCTACGCAAAATGTGACAAGCGTGTGCTAAAATTACGAAGAAAAACAATCAACAGCCAAGCGTGACATAACCTTGGTGAAATCTGCAAGCAGATTGAATCGAAGTTCGCTGCTTTTCTTCCGTAAGTGATTCAATAATACAAGCAGGGATGCCGTTTGGATCTAAATAGATCCAATTGGATACATTTTTAGACGAATTTTTGCGGGATACTTATTTTTTCCTATCAGTATAAATGTGGATACTTTTTTAAATCGGCCAAAATTTTATATTTTCTATTAAGTTTTTTTGTTCAAAAATAGATTTTCATTAATGACGTTTTCTAAATGTTATAAAAATCGCTACTTAAGCGTGAAATTAGAGCGTTTTATTTTTGGTAAATGAAGCAATGAACATATGAAGAGATCTCTCCAAAGCAGTGTAATAAGAGCTTTAGCAGACGGCAGCGTTGATTCGGATCAACTCGGGAATTAACTGCAGTTAATCCGGATTAAGTCCCAGTTAATCCCGATCAACTCGGGAATTAACTGCAGTTGATCCGGATTAAGTCCCAAATAATCCCGATCAACGCTGCCGTCTGTTTAAGCTTTTAGGCGCAATTGTTTAGTTAGCTAACAAAATGCTTTAAGGAAGATCTTAATATAATAATAATAATAATAATGGATTGGCGCTTACACATACGTTAGTGTTTGGCCGAGCTTCTCCCCCGATTTGTGGCGTGCGCCTTGATGTTGTCACACAAAGGTCTTAATATATATATATAAATTAAATATATCTCTTTCATATCACATATCTTCATTTGTTAATATAAAAAGAAAGAAGATCTCAATATAGTTTAAAATACACTGTTCAAAAAACTAAATTTGATTTATTTAAGGAAATTTTTATGAATTTGACTGAAAAGACTTTTAATACACTCTATTTTTTTTGTTTATTTGCGCATATTAAGAAAGGTAACCATTTTCCTCTTTTAATGTGTGCAAATTTGCACACCGTGTAATAAAATTAAACACTGCCTGTTTAATTTAACATACCAAATTTGTCGCAGAGAGCAAAATAATACATAAAATGTTTAAAATAGAGTAAATGTAAGCCCCTAATGTTTATTATTTGTAGGAAATGTATTTTTAGTTTCAAAATTTTTACAACTTTAAACATTTCATGTGTATACTTATGTATATATTTTAAAGATTTCAAGTTCAAAATCGAATACTGAATATCTTATACGTATGTATATTTATACAGATTCCTGTTGAAAAATAGATATTTTTCAGTAGTAGTTTTGCACACACCTTTCATAGTGTACAGTTACAAATGTAACATATTAATTACTATTTTTTATACTTACTTTGCAAAATACTTATGTATAAAAGATGTAATTTATAAACTGAAATTACAAATGTTTGATTTTATGAAATATAAAAATATATATACACGTATTCCTAGTCCTTAGGATGGGTTAAATTATGTCTTATTCTTCAAAATGTTTGGTTTTCTTACAAATTATGAGATGGATACGTAAAAAAAGAAAATTGGATACATTTGGATACATTTTTGACTTGGTCGGTGATACATTTTCTTGGGACGGCGCGGCAACACTGAATACGAGGTTCGATAAACTGACAGTTGTCTCTCGCACTGCTCCCTTAGCAGTGGCGCCGTGTTGCTTCTTTGCAAATTTACATGGAAACAGTGCACGATTGAGAGAAATAGAGATTGCGCCAATCGCGGTACCGCTAATCCGCAAGAATGATAGAATACAAGATTGCGCCGATCAGAGAAGATTTTGGAGAATAACTTTTGTGTGACGTCACACTGGTGCAATTGCGAGAGAGAAATGCCAAAACGTGAGCAAGAATGGAAGAAGAAGAAAAAATGTTGCAAGGGAAACGTAAACAAGTTGCACAAGTGTGACGTCATGCAAACAACGATTCTGTCAAATTCATTAAGAGAGGAATAGCGGTCCGAGATCGGCGCAACCTTTGTATTCTCTCAATAGTGGCTAATCCGCTCTTTGTGATTTTGACAGAATGAGCTGTGTGCGTAATCTTGGTGCAATTGTTGAATGTGAGCATACGAAAAAAACCACATAACAATTCTAATATTTGTGCGTTAATATTTCTGCGTGGTTTTAAACAATTATTGACACATTAAAAGGCAAAACGAAGTGTACAGTGGCAAAGTGTAATAGTGAAAACAAAAGGAAAGCGTGCTATATAAGTTATTTTTTCGTTTCCTACGGACGCAAACCTGGCGAAAAAGTGTAAGCAGTTCTGCCGGGGAGGACATGCATTAAACACCAAATCCAGCTTTGTGCTATGTGTGTGAGCTATGAGCTTCTACATGGAACTATGTTGGCCTTTCCTTGGTGAACAGTGTTGCCGCGCCGTCTCAAGAAAATGTATCCCTGACGAAGACAAAAATGTATCCAAATGTATCCAATTTTCTTTTTTTAAATATACATCTCATAATTTGTAAGAAAACCAAACATTTTCATGAAAAATACATAATTTAACCCATCCTAAGGACTTGGAATACATGTGCATAAGTATTTTGCAAAGTAAATATAATAAATAGCAACTACACTCTAAAAAGAGCATGTAAAACTACTACTGAAAAGTATCTATTTTTCAACAAGGATCTGTATAAATATACGTATAGGTTGTTCAGTATTTGATTTTGAACTTGAGATCTTTAAAATATACACATAAATACACATATATAGAATGTTTAAAATTGCAAAAATTTTCAAACTACAAATACATTTCCTACTAATAATAAACATTACTTTATTTTAAACATTTTATATGTAATTTTGCTCTTCTGACAAATTCGTTATGTAAAAGTAAACAGGCAATGATTAATTTTATTACACGGCATGCAAATTTGCACACATTAAAAGAGGAAACTGGTTACTTCTCTCAATATGCGCAAATAAACAAAATTTTTTTAGAGTGTATTTAAAGTATTTTCAGTAAAATTCATGAAAGTTTCCTTAAATAAATTAAATTTAGTTTTTTAAACTACATTGAAATCTTCTTCCTTTTTAAATTAGCAAATGAAAATATGTGATATGAAAGAGATTACTACAGAAAGAGTATA